TTAGACAGGTGGGCAGGTCACAATGACAAGAGCAAAGGATATGTTGTATGAGTTTGTGGTGACTTCAGGGCATCATATCACGTTATGTAGAGCATGTATGTAGTGCTGTATGAGATGAAGACTGTACTTAGATCACATCATTTGCCCCCATGGATTTATTCCAAACGACATGGAATTTGCAACAGCACTTGTTTCACAAAAACATCACAACCTAGAAATTTTTCCTCTTTCCTGTGAAAAGGATATCTTTGTGAGTCAGACGCAGGACTGTGATGAGCCTCAGAAATAAAAGTCTCATAAATTAAACAACCTGCTTTCTTGCAGTGCTATAAGGTTATTTGTCAGGAGAGACTCTCAGCTTGCCAGGAAGCCACCGGAAACGGAGACTTACAAAGCCTTCCATTTAAAGGTACAAAAATGCCATTGTAAGGCATAATAAGGGAACAACTTTAACTGTTCCAAAATACCTCTCAACCCACACACATCACATACACCCTGGTACACTCAACCAAGTGAAACCTGAGATAGGCTGCGAAGCATAACTCGCTTGTCATTTTTCTAGTCTTGAATAAAATATCCTTATCAAATGCATCCTGCAAGAGACATTCCTTTTGATGAGAAAGTAGCATCCCGTTTCTGGGTAACCTCTGTTTGTTTCCAGTCATGCATTTCAGAAGAAGCAATTGAAAGAATGACAGAGAAATGCAATGTTTCTGAATAACTCAGATTTTACAAAGGCCCTGATAGTACGTAGCGGTTTGCAGTAAGAAGGGGAGAGCCATTGAGAATGGCTCAAACTCCACAGTAGTTAATCTTTGGCATTCACAAAATTGGTTTTAGCTGCCTGGACAGCACAACAGCAGCTCTAAAATCCGATGGTGGAAGAATTCATTTTGATTGCCTGTGAAAGGAGTGTTTCTGCGTGGGGCAAGCTGTTACCTGTGTTCTCATGCCTCCTTTCTTCTCCCTCTGAACATCTAAACCCTGATGCAAGGAGGTACTTCAGCACTTCCCTGTGGAAGAAACTGTTTAAAGTTAGCCATGAAGTCAGGTAGTGTCTTGATGGATTACTGCTTCCCTACAATTGCTGTGAGGCCAAATGCTGCAAACATCTACGGGAGAGCACGGGGCTCTTCTAGGGAGAGACTCCTGGCTGGCCAGTGCCACCTTCTGCAAAGACATGGCATGCTGTGGGGGAGGAGGTCCTGCTCCTGTCAAAAACCTTCTGTTGGAGCAGAAGCAGATGCAAATCTCACCGCTTCTGCCCTGCAAGTCCTGGCTGCAGTCCTCCCTCAGCTGGGCTGCCAGGCGTGCTCCCAGTTGGACAAACAAAGGAGCAAGGAAACTAAGCCCTGCACTTTCCTCAGCTCCCTCAGGATGGAAAAGAGGAAGCTGAACCCCAAGTGGCAGATGTTTGTCACCCGTGATTACAGTGGGAGACACTCAGGGATGACAGCTATAAGGATGGTACAAGAATCTGTGTGAAATACAAGGATTGCGGGCTGCAGCGGGTAACTTCTGCCAGGCAAACAGGGCTGTTTTTTAGCACGGTGCTCTGTGAGCATGTAACATCAGCAGGCTGTAAGGTAGAGCATTTGGGAGCTAATGTAAGTGGAGCACCACAGAATCACACAGTACAGACTCACGCTTCAGCTTAGCAAGAGTGTAGCTCTTTAGAAAAATAATGAAAAAGAAGAGGCAGCGGTGAGACAGGATAAATAAGGAGATAAATCACTTTGCAATACAATGCAAGCCAAAACCTGAAAATAAACAATTACTTTAAATCATATCAAGCACCTATCACAAACATCACATTTATACAATTGATCCATGTGTAAATTAGCCAATTAATTCTGAATTGGAACACTAATGAAATAATAATTATCTGTTTACAATGGAATGGTACGAGTGCGGGTCTAGAAACAGAAATAAAGAAAGACTGCAGCAAAATCCACTCAGCTCCATCACGACTGGGCATGGGGGGTGGTCAATACCAGTCTTTAATGTCCAGATACTGGGGGGAGGGGGGGGAGCACAAATAAAATACATAAAAATACATAAATATGGGCCGCAAATGACAGAGGTGTAGAACGGCTCTTTCAGAACATTGCTTGCTTTTTTTTTTCTTTTTTTTTTTTTTTTGTAACAGAGAATTGCAAAGCGGAAAATTCTTTTAACATCTTCGGAGGCTGGCTTTTGTTTTTTTGTCCCTGCTCGGCTTTCTGCCATGAGTGGTTGTTTACCCTGAGAGACTCCAGGGGGATTAGGACCTCATAGTTACCAAAGCAGTGAAAGATGGATGGAAAAGGGTGGGAGTTTCAATACAGGATGATTTTGGTGAATCATATCTAAATCAAAATATTCGCTGAGATGGAGAAAGGCAGTTCTGTAAGAACTTTGCACCCTTGACTTTTCATGTAAGAGCTGCAAACGGATAAAATAGAGCTTTAGCCCAGGTCCTCATATGATAGGCGAGAGCCCGAGTTAGGTGACTACCAGCTATTTTCTGTATAGGAACTATTTGCTGTCTCTCATTTTTTCTATACATTTTACCCCAGAGTTGAGGAGTATTTCTACTGAAATAACGTTTCTTTGAAAAATTCCTGATGAGCTTTACTTTGCCCGATGCCTTTAAGTGAAACAGTTGTTAACAAGAGCAGAATATTTCTGTAAGCTCCTATAAATTGCTGAGACCCCATCCCCTAGATAGGTTTTGTGGATTTTTCATTGCTGCACCTCCCTGTTTAACTAAACTGCTCCTCACAATGACACTAACAGTTTAGAAATGGTCACATAAGAGACGATGCTCTGAAAAAAGTCACGTACACTGAAGGTACACGAAATATCATGCCTGTTGCAGCCAAAAATATTACATGATTGGGTCTATGTAAATTTTCCCTAGATTTATAACCCCAAATGCTCAGGGGGAAGCAGAACTCCTGGGCATAGCTTACAAGCATTAACATTGAGAAGTCTGAGTCAGATAAAAGGTGTCTTATTTCAAATTGCCAGTTGTGCATCTTTAAAAGGGAAATAGCAAGAGAATTCAGTTACATTTGACTGGGGCATGAAAATGTTTAAATGTATAGATTGTTGCTCACACACACACACACACACACACATGCACACACTTCTGAGTCTATAGCTCTGCATATGCCAGGACAGATTTTTGCAGTGCATGCTCACACGTACTTCCAATGTTTAGAAGCAGGCCAGAACTGAGAGGCTGGTATGGTCTCTTCTCTCTCTTCTTTCTTCCTTCCTCCTTTCCTTTCCTTTTTCTTCCTTTCCTTTCCCCTTTTCTTTTTCTTTTCCTTTTTCCTTTCCCCTTTCCCCTTTCCTTTCCGTTTTCCTTTCCTTTTTCCTTTTTCCTTTCCTTTTTCCTTTCTTTTCTCCTTTCCTTTCCTTTTTCCTTTCTCCTTTCCTTTTTCCTTTTTCCTTTCCTTTCCCCTTTCCTTTTTCCTTTTTCCTTTCCCCTTTCCCCTTCCCCTTTGC